GCATAGCCATACATTTACAATGTGATACATATAAAACAAACCATACAATTCCCTGGAGTCATAAAAAAAAAAAAAACACACAACAAAACGACCTCCAAAAACTCCAAGGCAAAAAGAAAAAGTCATAAGAAAAAGGACACCCACACGAGAGAAAAAAAATAAATAAACAAATAATAAAAAATATATAAAAAATTATTAAAAAAAATAAAAAATGTTACTCCAGCTCTTTCTTTACAACCATTTTCCTTCTTGGTGTATAAATTTTCCTTAAATCCAAATTTACTTTAAGCTTTTAACCGTTAAATACCAAGTAAATAATTTTACATGCGTGAGATGTTGATAATTCCACATCCTCAGTGGGTTTTTTTTTTTTTTTTTTTCTTGGAAAACCTGATTTATAGTCAGACACGCGTAGGGAACAGAAAAGGACAAATCAGCATCACCAATAATACCAAATTATTTAATTCTCAGAATTTTTAATGATGACTTTAGTTCAATTTTCTTGCACTGATTTCATGGTTCATCTTTAAATCGTTGAGGAAAAAAGATGCCATTATTTCTTTAAAGTCCTTATGAAAATAGTTTACACTAAACTTTAGCTAAATTTATTTATTTATTATAAGTTTTTACGGCAGTAGTGGCTCGTTTTTTCGACAGTAGGGGTTAGAGAGAGGGGGAGAGACGTGCTGTTGGAGTAAATAATTGTTACAAAAGGTTCAGAAAATGTAATTAATACATTTTTTTTGACTTTTTAAAGTTCTCTAATAAAGGAAGCTGCTACACTGCAAAAAAAATTTATCTACATAAGTCATTTTTTCTTAAAATAATTGCATTTTTTTCTTGAATTGAGGGGGAAAATGAGACATTTCGCCAATGGAACGAGACAATTTACATTTAAAATAAGAAAAAAAAACAATTGCGTTGTCTTTTTTCCAATACATATTATCTAATTATCTTATACTAAGAGTGAAAATACTCATCCCATTGGCAAACTATCTCATTTACCTGCTCAAAATAAGGGTAAATGCACTTAATTTAAGACATTTTTACTTATTTCTAGATCATTTTTCCAGTGTACACTGGGGAAAAAAATCGAAATCTAGATAAATAATTTTTTTCTTAAAATAAGTGCATTTGTTCTTGAATTAAGGAAGTAAAGGTGACATCTTGCCAATGGAATGAGACAATTTACACTTAAAATAAGAAAACACAATTGCATTGTCTTATTTAAAGTGCATATTATCTAATTACCTTATTTTAAGAGTAGAAATGTCCATTCCATTGGCAAACTATCTCATATACCTACTCAAATTAAGGGTAAATACACTTAATTTAAGAAACTTTTACTTATTTCTAGATTGTTTTTCCAGTGTAATATAAAGAAAGTGTTTCACATCTCAGTGTTTGTATATCAGAGATGCTTTAAATTAGATTTATCTAAAAAAAAAAGACAAATTATGTGAGACATTAAAAACAGGTTATTGATATTTAAAATAAAATCCTAATGGCTTCATGCTTTTTTATTTTCAGCTGATTTTACTCAATTAAAGGACAAACTGTATTTTTTTTTTATATTTGAACCAATCAAGCTGTGTTTCCTTTCCAACAGGCCATTGAATGCATCACGCAGGGGCGGGAGCTGGAGAGGCCACGGACCTGCCCCAAGGAGGTGTACCTGCTGATGCAGGGCTGCTGGCAGAGGGAGCCCCAGCAGAGGATGGTCATCAAGGACATCCACAGCCGCCTGCTGGAGCTGGTCAAGAATCCCCCCGTCTACCTGGACATCCTGGGTTAAAGGGCGCCAAAAGGCGGGCCGGAGCAGAAATCAGAGACTCAAAGGGTTGAGATTTATGCTGCTCAATCTAAACAGCTTCTGTTATTTGATTTAATTCTTTGCGTTTGTTTTCGAAGCCAAGCTTTCAGCCAAAGTTTCACCTCGACTCTGAGTCCGGTTTTCTGCCCTGAGATTGTCTGGAAAAATGTCAAATGTTTACTAAAGGGTTAAAGTTTATCTGCTGTGGGATCAGTTTGATGGGACGTGCATGGATATATGTTGAAATAATGAAAAAAGAAAAAACAACAAAGCTTTGCGTTGCTGCAAACCTAATTTCAGAAGTGAAGTCTACATTTTAAGGGATTTGGATGAAACAGGAAGTTATTTCTATAACACTGATCATTCATGTCAATGTAAATAAGAGACTCCCAATGAAAGACTGTTTTCCACGTTTCAAATTGTCTGTATTATATAATTATTTTTAAAAAAGAAAAAAATATTTGTTGGATATTAAGTAGAGAAATTGTTTTCCGGTTCACATTTAATGTGGACAGAAAGAGCAGTGCCTACACTGCAAAAAATCTAAATCTAGATAAGTCATTTTTTTTCTTAAAATAAGTGCA